GAAGCCCCGTGTTGTCCTCTCCCAGTGCTCTGTGAGGCGGGTTCCCATCAAATTTGCCCCCCTCCCCCAACAAAGAAACAATTTGGCTCTGAACAATCTGGCTCCATCACGCATCCCTCTAAATCCCTGAACTCCTCCATGTTGTGTACAGGTCCCCTCGGAGGCTCCGGTCAGTCTGGGCCTGTCCTGTGCTCACTGTACGTGGGAATAAACCTCTCACTGCTGGGGGTCCTGCCTTCTCTCTCTCTGCTCCTGCGTCACGGAAAGCCCTCCCTCCGACTCCTCCAGAGCCAAATTCTTCGTCTCTCTCTTCACGTCTGATCTCACAAACTTTTTACTGGGGCTGTTACTGGGTCTGATTGGCTTTCTTCCCATCCTATGCGATTTTACTTAAACTTTTAAATCGGGGCTTTCGTCTGTGTCCTCTTCACTAGGTGCAGCGTCCTTGTTTGTATGGAAAGGTGCTCTATAAATAGGTTATTATGACAGACTCGGGCATTTCACACGTTGCGAATACCAGGGGCCTCGTGTGACTGTGTCCCACATAACGATCCCAGATCCCTCCTCTCAAGTGTGTGGGGGAGACAGCCCTACATAGACAAGAACAGCCACCCTGACCAGCCTTTTCCGGCCTGTTTGTGCTTCGTATGGAGAATTACAGAACAGTTGGGCTTTTTTTTTTTTCCAGTTGATACAGAGTGGTCACTTACAGAAGGGTCTCGATATGACGGCTACATCAAAAACGTTGCCGTTTTAAAAAAAAACAAACAGTACTATTTTGGCACAGGGGGTGAGAGTGTTGAATGCTTCCTCTCCTGCCTGGCAGGAAATTTCTAGACGACGTCGTGTCTTCGTCCCTTCTTTTCAGCACTGAAAGCAGCGCTGTAGCTTCACCAGGGAGCTGTCCTTGTCAGCAGTTTGATAGACGCTTTTAATTTATTTATTTTTCATTTCTTTCCCCCGTTTTGCCGTTTCTGTCCCTAGCGGTTGCGATGAGGGGGAACCAGAGGGGTGAGGCACACGGGCCGGGGCAGAAAGAGCAGAGTTAGAGTGGGGGGGGGGGAGCCTTACACAGAGGGTGGTGGGAGCGTGGAACAAGCCGACCAGCCGCCTTGAAGCCGACACCCTCCCCGAGAAATTGGCTCGATCCGTTAACTGGCGGCCGACCCGATGGGCTGGAAGGGCTCCAGGTGTTTGAAACCTGTATGTCCCTGCGCTGTTGTGTGCGACGTGTGGCCGCCGCAGAGTGTGAACAGACCCTTTCTCGAACCGTCAGCCGTCTTCGAAAGCCGGGTTGAGGCGGGGAAGAATCTGGCCATTTTAAAATAAGCGGCCCGGGCGAGTCCCGGGAATGGTGGAAGCCCGGCTCTGAGACTCCCTCTTCCTCCGCTTTCAG